ATGATATAAATACTGTTCGGTTTCTCGCACAAACTGATCGTTTCGTGTCTTAGGACATCAATGTGTCGTCACGAGCCGCAGGGTTTCATTTGGATTTGTCTGTGCATGTTTTTTTTACTCTCATGGATTTAGTTACCATTGCCATGCATTATACGACTGATTAAAGTTCGTTTATAACTGCAACGGTTAAAGTTAAAAATCATCATATGTGGTCTACTGAAGAAACAAAGTCACCTACATTTTGGATGCCCTGGGGGTAAGCAGATAAATAATCACATTTTCATTTTTGGGTGAACTATCCCTTTAAGAATGTGATTTTTTTGCAGTGAAAACTGAATATTTCTGGTCATATTTCTAATAAATGAATGACACATGGGGGTCATGTGGTGTCAGACTTTTCTCACTGCATACTGACTGTGTGAACAAGCAGGAGTCTGTAGGAAGCGCAGGTTAAAGATGCTCTGACCGCTGTGTTATGTTCAGTCAGATGAGGCTTCACTCAGAGTTACTGATGATTTATACGTCATATTGATATGACTGTGCACACTTGCGATCATGTTTGCATCTTGAGGCTTTACACGGAAAAAAATTTATAGTAAATTTCACAAATAATTACAAAGAAATGGCAAGTAGCACTGAATTAAACATGACATTTTACATAGAAAAACGTAAAAATCTTACTCAGTGTTGCTACTCAAGTAAATAGATTTTTTGTGTGTGGATATTTTAATGGGAAAGCAATACAAAAAGACTACTCAAAAATGTAAAAAAAGATTTTCTTCCTCAGTATTTTTGTCTTGCTTTCCAATACAAATTTCTACTAATTCTTAAATCAAGATACATTTACTTAAGAAGCAAAACTGCATAAGATATTAAGTCTTTTATGAAAAATGTATCAAAATTAAGTATCTGCAGAAAAATAATATTATCTTCCCTCTGGTTTAAGCTAAATTATTATTATTTATTTTGACTCAATATCTTATGTCATTTTGCATCTTAGTTTAAGAAAGTTTAAAAATGTGTACTGGAAAACAAGACAAAAATACTGAGGAAGAAAAACTTTTTTTTTTTTGCAGAGTAATTTTTTGTAGTGTTGGATTTGTAAATCAATTTAGTTAAAATCTAGCTAAATGAACACTTTCTGATTGTTTTTAATATTGGGAATATATTCACATAATATAAAAACAGAGAATGACGAGTTATAAGAATGATTATATGATAAATATACAGGATTAAAACTTGATGGAACTCCAAACTCAAAGATGAATATCACTTAATTCTGCTGAATTGTTCATTTGTCATACTGGTTTGTACTGTATGTCTCCTGTGCTCGCTGAAGTTCCCATACTGCACTAGACGTATCATGTAACGATGAACAGCCATTTGGTGTGTGTTTGTGTCTCTCTCATCATGTGAGCACCTGTTTCCAGCATGAGCTCAGCAGCAGATCTCATCCAGCTGTTCACTCATTCACTTCATCATCTACACACTTCCACTGAAGAGAGCAGCACCAGCATTCAGCTAAATATCTTCTTCTGTTTGCCAAAGAAAGTAAAAGAGTCATACGCCTATGAAATAAAATGAAGGTGAGAAAATGATGAAAGAACCGGGTTATTATCGTTAACTAAAACTAAAACCATTTTTTTATTACATAAAATAAACTAATATTAAAACTTTCTCATTTCAACTAGTTGCCAAGGCAGCATTTCTCATTTTATTTTGTTTAACAAAAAATAAAAAATAAAAATAATAAATAAAAATAACTATATAGACATATTTAAAAAACAAAAACTAATTAGATTAACAAAACTCATTAAAAATTATTTAAACATATTTTTTTTAATTATTAAAAATGACAAACAAACCATAAAAAATTACTAAAACTTTAATTTAGAACTTAATAAAAACGATACATATACATATTAAAAACTAAAATTGATAAAAATTACAAAAACACAAAATGACTAAAACTTTATTAAAGTGAAAATTAAAGTGAAAACTTAATAAAAATTATATATACACATTAAAAAAGTAAAAAAAATTGCAAAAACATGATAAAAATAGTAAAACTTTTACTCAAATTAAAATGAAAACTTAATAAAAATGATATATATAAAATAAGTATATATATATATATATATATATATTATACTATTATATATATAAAAAAATAAAATTAATAAAAATGACAAAAACACACAACTAAATTAATAAAACCTTAACTGAAATTAAAATGAAAACTGAACAATATATAAATAAAATAAAATAAAATCTATTTCAAAATATTAACAAAAACTACAATAGTATATCAAAAAAATAATACCGCGACAGAATGATACATTTTGGGTGACCTGTCCCTTTAACAACACTAATCAGTGTGTGAGGTGTGAATGCATTATAATCCAATGCCATTACAGCACACACACACACACACACTCTCTCACTCTTACACACACACACACACACACTCTCTCTCTCTCTCTCTCTCTCTCTCG